CTCTATATTTTTTAGGTTCGTAGCCAACAAAGATAGAGCCGCGTTATTTTATAGCTATGACTTATTCATTGAAAACTATATTAGTTGGTTACAGTGTAGAGACTTGATCTTCATTTCTTTTGAGCGGGTAAAGCAAAAGTTACGTTTCGCCTACGACAATGCTCACTACAAATGCAATTTTGACGCATAACGCGTGACGTAACCTCAAAAAGTTTCTCACACGAGTGCTGGCACTAAACAACTATGATCCAGCAATGATTGTGGTTCACAGCCTTAACAGGATGCGTGCATCAGCGTGATTGCCGGCAACGCACCGATTCAATCCTGTCTATTATTTTATATCGCTGTACACTGCGTCCTAGAATGTTCATTTAGCGAGGCAGCTTAGTTTATCTACCACTGTCGTTAACAGTCTTTTAGTACTATTATTATCAACCAGATTATGGACTCGACAGCTGAACAAAGACTACTGAACATGGTGGTCTGCATTCAAAGTCATCTTCCGATCGGGGTTCCATCAATTTTCTAATTCGTTCTCTACATATATTCTCATTTTAGATCATATTAGGCTTTCTAGCGATATATTGTTGCATTTTCCACTCAATAATGTTAATGAAACTGAGTACCTATCATTCTCTTCGGTCCTTGATTTGGAATGTTTTTCTTTTTATGAACATTGGCAGACACTATTACCATTTTTATTAAATTTCACTTGTTTCAGCATGAATTTAAGTTTTACTCTCTTCCAAAACCAAGCAACTTTGAAGTATTTTACAAATAAATATTGCAGTTGCTTTGTCGTTAGACTGTTTGAAAATGTAGAGCTTTTTATGTAGCTAGCTTAATAAGTTTGCACTAGCTTTTACTGGGTCTGTATTAGGTTCAAGGTCTGCTCAATTTTTCGCACCACGAGCGTTCCGAGCGAGCTGCCCCGTCCTGCTTCGCGGAGCCAACGAAGGATATATTTATCATAGATTGTGGCCGTTTGTTATGCTTCAACTGAGAAAAGGCTTGATGAATGGGTTTGAAGTTGGAAATGGCGATTCCAATGGAGTTTTACTTGAAGTAGTTTAGATAAACATAAATATTGCAAAAAAGTTGACAGTAAATCAAGAAAGGTACACAACATAAGAAAATATCAAAAAATAAATAGCGCCAAATCACGGTACAATCAATGAAGTTTTAAGTTAGGACGTTTTTTATTTAGACCATGTGTATGTTCTTAAAAATACTTACATTACAAAAACTTTACATGATGTAACAATATTAATGAGAACAAAAGCATGATTGAGATCGAGTTGAGATTAAGCCACATTAGAATGATAAGGCCTCCGTCCCGATATAGAGTTACGTCCCATCCCATTCAAGCACTCCACGATGAATAGCGGCGCAGATGTGGACTTTTTTATAACAATCTTTCCCACACTACCACTTTTTCTGATGCCTTAATACCTCGCCAAACTTACCCATGCACTTTCAACGCACCTCCACAAACGATTATAAACTCTAAGCTCTTTAAAATAAAGCCTCACTACACTCAAACACAAAAGCAAAGCTGCCGTGGTCGATACAGTTTTGTAAAGATTTTTTGTGCGCACGTCTGTCTTTGCTATCGGATGCGACATCGGAAATTGAATAGTTTTTATACTTGCACCTATGAGATGAAATTGTTCGAAGGAAGTCACATGTGTATGACAATGAATGTATGATTTACTATTGTTTCCTTTACTTTTTAGGCATTCCCAAATTCATTCTCAAATCTCAAGTAAATATGTAATTCTCATTGGTTAGAAAACGAAAAAGGAAATCTCATTGAGGTTGTTAAACGTCTGCCAAAATAAAACGAATAGCCCCGAATAGAAATAGGAAAAGCTGAAAGGAAAAAGGAATGTCAGAAATAAATTTTTATATGAAAGCTTCGCCAACTTTAAAAACTGAATACGAACGAAACAGCGAACGTTCACCGTCGAGACGTTCTCTGTAAATAAAATATTCGCCACAATTACATTGCTAGCTAAACTTTGTCTTTGTGAACTGTACGGTGTTTAAACTTTGGCAGAAATGAAATCAAAGTATCTACTCCATGTGCCTTATGAAAACTAAGCTCGTGGATTTGGTGGAGCAATAAGAAGAGGATTATCCTCCAGAGAAAGTATGAATCAACTTAATATATTACTTGTGGCAATAATCGGGATATCGGGGGCGTTTGATCTCCCGTTTAGACTTTGAGGAAACATTTGCTGTTCTAAAGAAAATATCTTCGCTTTCCACCGAGTTGCAGCGTCGGATCAATGGCACCTTGGGTGGTTGATAGCTTAGAGACTTTTAGTGCGATGACCTTAACTGTGCATTTAGTTTTTTAGTACCGAAATGATCTAATAGGGATGTTTCCTGGGTAAAAAAACAAGAGTTTGAATTAGTTCGTCAGTTAACTTATCAATACTCGACACGTATTTTTCATTCAATCAAACTTATAAAAATTTAAAGAGATAAAGTTTAGAAGAAGAGGTCCGTGACGTCAAGGCGTGCTTAAAAGTGTAGCACTTTGTGACGTCACACGGAACTTCAACGCATCATAACTTCGTGACATATTAATTATTTGATTGACAAATAAAAATATACGTGTCCAATATTTTTTTTGGAATTTCAGCCTATTTAATTAAAAAAATTGTGTCGTCAATTTTGATACAATCTTTTGATCCTTTTCAATCTGTTCCAATAGTGTCAACAGCCACAAAGAAAACTTCCGAAACTAGACAGGCAGAGGAAACATAACTCGGCAGCCAACTAAAAAGGAAGCATGTACCATTGCACAATCCGCAGCGTCGCTCGTACCAACAGTTAGTGGCGAAATTGGCCAATTTGTATATTTGTTTTCATTGGCCTCACTGAACTTGACTCCCCATTATCGCATTCGCGGGAGGAAGGCGTATTATTTATTCGATTAATCCGTGGGACCGGCCCAGATTGTCTATAGGAGTTAACCAGTGTGAAGTGTTGAAGTTTAACCAAGTCTCAGATTGGCCTGGTAAGTATAATACGTAGTAAGTTGCAGACTAACTAATTTGGAGATAGAGTTAGTTAGAAATACAATGAATTTTTGGACGAAAATTATACAAAGAATTCAGATGTAACATATAATAGCTGTAAAAGCTCTATCTGCTTGCTGAACGTTACAAGTTCGTCTCTATCTCTCTAACTCGAAAAATATATATATTTTCGACTGAATTATAAAATGTTGTTAATCCATAATATTCTTAGTTAATGTATCTATTATTATTTTATCTTTATAAACTATTTTCGACTGAATTATAAAATGCTGTTAATCCATATTATTCTTAGTTAACGTATCTATTATTCTTTTATCTCTAATCTTAATTCAGCGCGATACAAATAAGAAACGCTAAATAAATGTATCCATTTTCCATCTTTTCAGAGTCGTGAGATAAGAATCCTAATGTTAATCCTCTTGAAAGAGTTAATTAAAGTCTACAATTTCATTACGGAGATTCTACAGTCGCAAAGAAATGAATTCTTATGCCATTCGAATTGGATTCTTGTTCGGATAAAATAATCTTGAGACTTTTTGCGACTTTCATTAGCAATTGAGTTGAAATATGTTATTGATTTTACATATTTTTCATCATGACTTGTCTTGATTATTAAATTCAATGTCCAATGAAGTTAGACGTAATTACAATTTACTAGTGAAATAAGGCTTCATTATCAACGTTCAATGGGTTTTTCAGCGCGAGCTTAAATTTTCTTGATGCTTTTTTGCAGTATGTACTTTACCTACATATCAATACATAATAATCTACATATTTCAATTGTACTTCGTCTCAAGCAAGATTACCATTGAATGTAAATAAGGTACAAACCGACTACCATGTTGAGAGAGTATTTAAAATATTTGCCGAGCGGCCATCAACATAGCAAAGCGACTGAAGGCAGCAAATTGCTTTGAAAAATTGCCTCTAAACTTATCCTTGGAATGTAAGAATAAAAGATAACCATGAAGGGAATGTCAAAAGAAAAATTGCGAACTATCTAGTTTATTATTCTGAGAAGTTTCCTATTATTTTTGCCGTCTTTGGGTTTAATAAGGAAGGAAGTAGTGACATTCTTGTTTTCATTTACGTTAAAAGCTTTTATTTGGGAATTTTGTCATCGTTTGTCTTATTTTTCTTCGTTCTATCTGAATGTGTTATTTAGGAAGACAAAGTAGCTCTTATTTTACCAAGTAGACTACAATAAGTTAGTTAGCTTCTAATACAGTTAGAATGCTAAGAGCTTTCCCAGCCAATAACAACTCCATTATATTCTTGATAAAATGAAACGAGATCTTAAAAATAGTATATCTATGTATTATGACTAGATACCTACTTAACATACTAAAAACAAACACATAAAGTAAGAAGACATCATGCAATTTACTGAAACACGAATCATAAAAGCCTTTTAATATCTACAAAAAAGCTTCTCGTGAAGCTTTAGACTACTTAGAAGGAAGTAGTGACAAGTTAAGTTGCTGAGTCAGGAAAATGAGCACTAAATAGGTGTATTTGTTTGATGTCTGCATTCCTGTCACTTTAATTTTGCTCGTTGCAATTAAGGGCTAAATTACGTGACATCAGCCTCTCTGCAGCTCCGCTCGATGTATCATCGCGACATGCCATCTCTTTATACTCATTTCCCAGACTAAGCAACGATCAAGTGAACTCCTCTCAACTTCATTCACATCCACAACTTCTAACAAACTTATACTCATACAATTATCTCGATGTCTAGAGAACTTTCAACAAGTTTCAACAGCCGCAAACTCCTCGAAAGAAAGCTCGAATCGATTCGCAAAAGCTGCACACAACTAAAGCTCCAACGGAAGCACGCGAACGCACCGGACCTCGCTCCACGCTCTGCTGCTCTGTACAAAATCTAACCAAACAAATCCACGAAAGCTCACTCGAACTACACTTGCACAAAACTTTGACGCGAACTACCTTCTCCGGTCGCTTGATCCATCCGCGTCTCGTTTTTTTCTTCGTCTCGCTGCCTCGGAAACACAAAACGGTCCGAAGGACGCAAGCGAAAAATAAACAAAAAGGGAATCGGAGTTCGCGATCGCGTCAGAGCGCGCGTGTGCGTCGCGCGGTACTGTGCGGCGCGGCGGCTCGCGGCGGCGTCGGCGGCGGACTGGCGCGCGCGGCGCAGCTGGCGCGGCGGCCAATGGCGCGCGGTCACGTGACTCCCCGCGCCCGCACGTTGTTTACAAATAATAATAATAGTGCCATGGCGTGCCGGTGGCGCCGCCTCTACGGCTACGCGCTACGAGCTACGCACAGCTGTCGTTGCATTTGGCGGGATTCGATTCGGCATTCGGTTCAGCTTCGATCTGTTTTCGGCGGTTTCGCGGCGTCTATCGATCCTTGCACCCGCTCCGCTTCGTTTTCCTCAATAATATTCTTTGATGTTAAACTTCGCTATTCAATTCCGCCGAAACTTTTGCGAAGTAAAAATCCTTTGAAATATAGTTTCCTGGCAAAGCCATAAAACGTAGTCTTCCAATTTGACGCGATTAAAAGCGAAAGTTGAAATTTCCTTTGGTGGAAACGCTTGTTTACTCCCAGTTTTTTGTTTTGAGCTTTCCCCTTTCACGTCCGAATAGGAAAAGGAAAACGTCGAACGTTTAACCTGGCATTACAAGGGCATCGGTAGGTGTGCTAAATTGTTTAGCTTCCAAAGGGGTGACATCCCTTATAAAATTATTCTGCAATTTTTGCGAAGAGGGTGAGAACTGAAGCTGGGACCACAGGTTGATGTTTTGGATTGTTTTGCGTTTGGTAAGGTGCAAGAGGGATCGGACCGGCTACCCCATGCCATGGCAGCCACGAGCAGTGCCATACTTTGTCACTCCCCTCGGTCTAAATCTGATCTCAGGTTCCCCACAGCCAGGACACTTGACGGAGTCAACTTTAATTAATCCCTTCATACACCTTACAGCCGATAAAACATGGGGAGTTTAGGACCCCAACATATTTGAGAATCTAGGGCAACGAGGTGATAAAAGCTCTATTATGATAATATCATTATTTTCTAACACTTTATCACTTCATAGATTGTATCTTATCATTATTAACAGAAAACCTTTGAGTAAAATATCCAGTCATGAAAGTTCAGTTCGGAAAACAGCAAAGTTTTAACGCAAAAAAGCTCATTTTCAAAAACTATGGAACTTTTAGCTCTAGAATATGATTATCCACATTTTCACAAGTCTTCAGTTAGGCTTGGTTGCACCATCTTATTTTAACTTTGACAAACGTCAAAAATCTGTCAAAATTCATACAAAATACACCGGTTATCGTTTCTTAATAGAGCATTGTTGTAAAAGATAAACCTTATTAAATATACCTTTCTACTTTTTAAGGCTTCAAAAACTCTATGTAGAGTCTACATATGTTGAAATCCTACTTTATTTATAAAACATTATCAAAGAATATAAAACTTCATGATTACTGAACTACGAGTATATACAAGCCGCTCTGCTTGCTGTTTGATAAAAAATTAGGTATTGGCTGCAATCTGCCAAGAAATATACGTTTAAATGCAAAAGGAAATTCTGTTTTATTCCCAATATTAGGGAAGGAACTTCTTATTAATTTCATACTAGTTTAAGTCTTCCGCAGCAGCATATTACTAGTGTTTTTCTTCAAAATACTTTTCAATTTTACATTGTGCCGGAACTCTACAATGTGTCATTCACTGAAAATATTGATGGAATTTAAAAAAATACGCTACTACTATGTCAAATGTCAGCTTATTAATTGTCTACAATAAGTAATTATTTTGGAAAATTAATGAATAAAATATTACTTTTACTAGAATTCCAAGCTTCATTTTTAATAAATAGGCTAGCAGCAGCAAATAAAGTAATGAACATGAAGTTAAACGTTCAAACCAGGTAACAGAAAATACCTATACAAAGCCTTGATAATAACAACTATTGAATTGCCAATACCTGAAAATCAAGACATCGCAAACTCTAAAGAGCTTCCAGTTCAAAAGCTCCTTTGAAAACGTCTAAATGGAACTTGTTAAAAATAACCTAAAAGCTTTTAAGTTTTGATTTTCTCTCAAGTAATTCGTAAGACCTACTTTTTATTCAGCAAAAACGTAGAATAACTTGATATTATAAAATATCATTTTTTATTAAAAAAATAAAGGTGAATAGAGTTCATAAAATATTTTCTTTATTTCCTTGAGGAAGGTACATTTTCAGAAAATGACGAACGAAGGGATAGAATGATAAACAGTTCTCCGAAATAGAAATGTTCCTGTTCCAAGAAAAAACGTGTATTTTCGCGAGCGGCGAGCCTCACCACCCCCTACCACTGTGACTCATCAGAAATTCACCACCCACAAGAACGAATTACTCATTTTATGTTCTAAAGTCATTATTTATCAAATTTCCATCATAACACAACATCTGGCGAGTGGCATATCATTAATTACATTTTAAATTGTAAAAACGTTATGTTCTCTATCTTATTTACACATCATAGTAGTTTTAAAACTCTATTTAACTCATCTCATATCTTTAATTTAAAAAAATATATGTCAAAATTATAAACATACTGACTTTTATTTATTTTTATTTATTTATTTATTTAGGAAAACCAGGGTTTTACAGTGTGTAATAATAACATAAGATAGGCAACGAGTAAACCACTTATAGGTTCCCACAGGTAAAAACAATTTAAAAAATTTAGTGAGCCTTTGCACCAGGGTTACTACATACTACGTACTACACTACTATAATATACTATGTAATACCTAAATAAAAAGTATTGGAAGACATTGCCAAACAGAAAAACAATTTAGTTGTCCTTAAAAAAACGGTCGCCTAGCTTTCTCCTCGCCACAGCAATGCTAGTACAAAATATGTCGATGTTAGTCTCCTTGACAAATTCGTTCAAGTTCCTACTCGCCCGCCAGAGAAAACTATTTTGCCTGTAGTTAGAGTCTACCTTGGGGATGTATAGTGGATCATTATTGCGCAGAATTCTTTTTGGAGCATTAAATTGAATGTTAGCTAGGAGTTCAGAGCAGTCAATCTCAGCTGTGATAACTTTTATAAGATATGTGATATCAGATATTTCACGCCTAATGGCAAGAGGAAGGATGTGGTGCCTTTTACAGATGTTAGAGTAGTCCGACGAACTATACTGTGATCTGGTACGGTAACAAATAAACCTTATAAACTTTTAGCAAATTGTTAGACGTAAATTGTTAGCAACATCTAAATATTCAAGAAAGATTGCAACGCGTGCGAAGCGCGTTCTTGCATCGTGCCGCGCCAATTTCATTGCTACAAAAGTGCGTAATATCGATTACTGGCTCCCTTACCCCACCTTCTATCTCGCTCTCGCGACGCACAAGAACGTTATGGGGCGAAAAAGTCGTAACCAGGAGCGCAGCGGCCCGGGGGCGACTTTGCGCGGAAAGCAGAACCGCCATTTTGTCATTTCCCGCTTTGACATAAGACCTTTTAAGATGGCGACCGCTTCCCCTGCCGTCGTCGCCATGACAACCGATCTGTCACACGCATAGAACATAAAACGCAAGCATTGATTTTTTCCCCGCTTCCTCTTTTACTTTTACGCGTAGCGCGACTTTCTGCTTGAATTTTTATTTTTAAGTGCGAGTTTTGGCGCTAGGTGTGAGCTTCCATTGTATTTGCACTGGCAGAGGTTTTCCGTTATGATAAAATGTCGTGGGTGTTCTTGTATTGTCTTAATGCATATTGTATTTTAAAATTACCATACGAATATTTATTATAGTTAAAAATATTAATGATTAAAATTGGTCTTAATGCATTGAGGGATTAATAAAAAAGTTTGTTATTAATCTGTTTTTATTTCGGGTCTTAATAAATAAGAAATACTCTTGTGAATAATTCAGTTAATTGCGAATTGCTGTAATATTGCAAAAAACTTTCGATTGAAACCACAGCTTCCTACAATTTTATTATAAAAAGCTGATTATTTCCAGAAACGAAAGCTTCTCAACGGCACAACTTTTGTAGAGTCATTAAAATTACATTTGCTTTTTGCCAATTTTTTTCTAAAATTAACTTTTCTTATAAATCCGAATGCGTTGAAGGAAATGGAGTTGTATTGATAAATAGCAAGTTTACGGATAAGGGAAAATTTGTTAAGGTAGGCCCGTAAGCCCAAGGGTGCGCAAGGGTCGCTCGGATCCCTTCCAGATGTGGCGATTTTCCACCCTCTGCGTTAACTCGTCTCGGGAAATATGCTACCTTGAAATTCGCTTGATACCGAACATAGGTTCGATGAATTTACAATTTATTGTCTTCAATGCGTACTAAACTTGGCACTTTAGAGGCAATAAGTTACCGCAAGAGCTTAGAGCTTTGGTGAGTATGATTTTTACGAATGGTACACTACTGGTCAAATGTACGACATTTGGTTCATGAAACTAGAACATTTTATTGAGTGGCTCGTTGTTTTGATACAAGTAAATGCTTTAGTTTATACTCACCTTTAGTAGAAATGAGATACTGAAAAAGCCACAGTAGAGCTTTTAAGATGCATGCACCGATCATCTTATAGTCCAGCAGATTGTCACTTGTTTCTTTTTATAAACAAAAGAATACTGTCTTGATGGTACAAAACATTTACGCTGGTATTCACAAACATTACTATGAGATCTCACAGTGCGCGTGGACGCACAGGGTGACACATTAACCAATCGCAGCTCTATTCAACGCTGTGCATTCGATTTGCTGCTTCACTTAAGCAAGTATCGTTTGTGAATACGGGCGATGTTTGGGAAAAACTTCCTCATGTCACACGAGTAGTAAGCTCGGTTAAAGCTCCACAGGGATTGTTTAAAGCTGAGGACTTAACTCCGTACCTTTCATTGGTCTCTTGATGTTATACTCATTGTACTTGCAAGTGTTTGTACTACATATTTATTAAGGACCTACATTAATACGAGTATGTTAGTAACTATTTCTGGAAAAACTTACGAGTCTGAAGAGCTTTTTACGCGCATTACGTAAGCTCATGCTATCGAAGGAAAGCTAAGGAGTTTTATTACAGTTTATGTCAGAAATAAAAATGACTTGATTTGATTGATTAATTACACTTACTTGGCTTGAAAATGTATACTATAGATTAGTGCCTGCCTACGAGTATTCAATCTAGACCAAGTTCGATTCCCATCCCAAAAGATTGTACTTATAATAATGCTATGTCACTAACATCTAAGTTTTCAGTTAATCGATAGTCTTATTAATTTGATTTCAATAATATTTTATTTATATTTTAATTTTAAATTATTTTTAAAATGGCATTATTTTCAAGACATTTTTTGCGAGATCGTTGGAAGGACCAATAAAATTAAATAAAACACATATAGGTAACATTTTTATTTATTAATGGCCGTGATGGAAACAGGGGATGTGTGTTTATTAACAACTGCTTAAAAGTCCTTTATTTATATGTTGTTATTTTACAAAAAAATATGTTGGAATGTTTATTACATTTAGAAAAATGTTGCAAGAAAGAAACATAGATTTTTCTAATGAAAAAAGCCTCTTAAGACGTATAAATCTAAGCATTGCAATATTGTAATACCTAACTATTATTTTAATATTAAATAACTAGCAAATAACCAGTTTTTACACACTTACAGCTAATATTTACAATAATTCAATTAAAATATTAATACTTGGTTATGGAGGCCTTACATACGCTTATATAAAATTAATTATAATACTCTGCCTTTAGGATAAGAGTTGGTTTTTTATTTGAGGCCAAAAATGCACTTGATTTAAATTGACGTTTCTAAAAGTGTGTGTATAAATATTGCTGTTTCTCGGAGATTTAACGTGCACATTTTTCCATTGTTTATTTATATTAATCAATTAATCTGCATTTGAGACCTCAAATTATTTCCTACTATAAATTGTGTAGACAATAATTTGGCGATTGTCAAAAGGTACACAATTTGTAAAAACTATCACTCTTTCAATTATGAAGGAACTGTTAGGTTTTAAATGATCTATCCAAATATTTTAAACTATTTTACTGTAATGATCATTCGGATGATACAATAAATAACATTTATTCGTAATAGTTTGCAAACGCTTTGGTACAAGTAAGTCATTTTTGAAAAATATTAGTATGTAAAAAACGAAATCTGTCATGATAATGCATCATCTTTAGTTATACTTTTTAACTAAGTAAAATAATAATAAAAAGGCAGTGGTTTGAATTTTAATGCTGGCAAAAATAAAGATTCACAGCGTAAACCGCCATCTAGCGGCGAGTAGCGTCACTATTCTTAACTAATTTTATTGTAAGTTACAAAAGAAACAAATCACAACACAAGGATGTTAATATTTATATTAATCTAATCACTGGTTATTCGGGATAATAGTACATTGGCAACAGCTGGGGATCCAAAATAAGTCAGTGTAAAGAGACTGGCCACTCGACTCTAGCGCCACCAACCGTTTCTGAATGTACTTTTGCTCACACCGAGAGTTGTATCCCGGTGGCACTGTGCAAAGCCCGCTGCACTGCGACGACCTGAAATTTTTTTTTTTTAGAAAAAAATAAGTTAAAAGGTTTTTAAAAACCTAACATAAGTCATAGAACATGGTATCGAAACAATCGTGATACATCATGATACATTAACAATGTTGCTGCTATTTACTAATAGATGGCGTTAAAAGATGTAATTGTATTTCCAAAGATGCTCACTAGATGGAGCTAATTTTCAAATCTTATGGAGGCAGGTGATAACTTCAGTGAACATTGCAGCTGCTTGTTAATTCAATACATAAACGTTGGTCAACAGATTGAACACTTCATCGAGCTATTCAAATAATTTTAATAGGTATACAAGTTTAGTTAGGAAAGGATCAAATCAAATTATTATTGTAAATGTAGAGTTTAAAAAATCTTCCTAGTGAAATTATTTTATAGTTTCGGGTTCAAAACTTATGCGTTTGTGTGTGCGCAAACGTGCGTAATGTGCGTATGTAGCGGCTTTCTTTTCTTTCCGCTTGTTCCCTAGTTCCTAACGAGTCACACCAAACGAGTAACACTGTTACTCTTTGGTAAAAAGATCGAAAAAAATTCCCATGCAGTCACACCCTCACTCGTTAACCTGTATTTTTTTACTGTTAGCTACTATAATAGATTACTTGAGTATTTTGATTTTTAATGTATTTACATGGTTTCTTTTGAAATCTCTAATATTAAATAAAGTTACTTAATGCATGTGATGATGAGTACTCCTACCAGCAGTGTGACTACTAACTACGTGGCAAATTATTAAACAAAATACAACACATACCAATACCATAAAAGAGACGATAGAAAACATTGAAAAAGATAACATTTTAATTGATAAACCATGTGACATAGCAGATGCGATTAATGACTTTTTTATTAATTTGAATAATGATATACAACATAACATTGACATTTCATATAAATCAGTGACTCAACCTAATTTGAATAGTATCTTTCTGATACCAGTTACAATTTCAGAAACTAAAAGGACTATACAAGTGTTAAAAAATAAAAAAAGTACAGGTTTTGACAATATACCAATGACGATAATTAAATCAAGTATTGATGCTATAATTGACCCATTAACTTATATCATAAATTTGACTTTTGAAACCGGTATATTCCCCGATGATTTGAAGAAGGGATTAGTAAAACCTCTTCATAAAAAAGGATCTAAAAGCGACATGAACAATTATAGACCTATTGTTTTACTATCAAACTTTTCTAAAATCTTTGAGAAAATAATTTATAATAGGATCATGTCTTTTCTGGACAAAAACAAGACGTTAAATACAAATCAATTTGGATTCCAGAAAGGTAAAAATACAACTGTAGCTATTTTTAAAATTTTGAAACAAATGTGGGTAGATATAGATAAGAAAAATACTTGTGTTGGACTTTTTCTAGATTTGTCAAAAGCTTTTGACTGTGTCGTTCATAAGGTCCTACTAAAGCAATTAGAGCACATAGGAATTCGTGGAATTGCTCTCAAACTTATGCAATCGTATTTAACAAACTGAGAACAAGCAACAATTCTAGACACATATTATGACTCAACGACAAAAACAATGTTACGAATACAGTCTAATTGGAAACCTATTGCCCTGGGTGTACCGCAAGGTAGCATTCTAGGGCCACTTTTGTTCTTGATTTATGTCAATAAATTTCCACAAATAGTAAATCACCTATGCGNCTGGACTATTATGTTCGCGGATGATGCTACTATATTCTTATCCAAGGAAAAACAAAATGATGAGAGTTTCACTGATACAATTTATAGTACACTTAACCGAGTAACCGAATGGTTAGCAGGTATAAACCTAAAAGTAAACTTGGCTAAAACGAAATTGCTGGAATTCAGAAACTATAAGAAGGTCCCACTAGATTTGAACATTGTTATTAACGCGACTAAAATTGAGCAGGTATCTGATATCAAATTTTTAGGTATTACCATAGATTCCCATTTGAATTGGAAATCTCACATTGACAATATAAATAGACGAATATCTAGTAGCTGTTATGCCATATCGATACTTACAAAGGTGACCTCAATAGAAATTTCAAAGAATGCATATTATGGATACGTCTATCCACTACTGACATACGGAATAATATTCTGGGGCAATTCTGTAAATGTTCAGTCTACATTTATCTTGCAAAAAAAGTGTTTACGAACAATTTATAATATTGGTCCATATGACACATTACGGGTAGTATTTAAGGAATGTAAATATTTGACATTGACGGGTATATACATATTAGAAATTTGTTTATTTGTAAAAGGACATGCACAGTATTTTCATAAAAAAGTGACACTAGAAATAATTTACGGTCACAATACATGTATGACATTTGTATAGAAAAATCATCGAGTTACATCCATGACAAGAGTACTTTTATAATGGGAATTAAGATTTTCAATAAGTTGCCTAAAATTATCAAGGCTTTAGAAGGTCCGCAATTTAAAAGAACTCTTAAAGATTGGCTAATAATGAAATGTTTTTATAGTTTAGAAGAATATTTTAATCATTGTTGAAATTCTAAAATATGGACAACCCACTTAAGTAACATTGTAAATTATATTATTCTCTTTACCTACCTATATTGTACGTCCGAAATGGGCAAACTGTCGGTTCCTGTGTTATTTAACATCCATGTAACAACAATGTATGCACAGTTTTGACAATAAATGACTATCTATCTACTAGATGGGAATTTTTTTCAGTATTTTTCCCAACAGTGTTACTAGTTTTTACTGTTGTCAGCCGTTTCCTCTAGTGGTTCAGAACGGATTACTATGCCGAGAGGTTCCGGGTTCGATTCCCGGCCGGGCAGATTTTGAAATGATGAATTTTAATTTATGTGATGGGTCAGGGTGTTAAAAAAAAGTATTTAAGTATGTTTATATCCGTCGTCTAGTACCCATCCATAGTACAAGCTTTGCTTAGTTTGGGACTAGAGGCGCAGTGTAAAATGTCAAAAAAAAAAGTTTGGGTGTGACTCTCTGGGAACAAGTTGTGCTTTTGTGGCTTCGTGCCCGCATTGCATGCATGCATGGGTGCGTGTACTCGCGCATGCATAGGTGCGTGTACTCACGTGCAGATCTCGGCTCGCACGAGCTGCGTCATGTTGTCGGGCATGTTGACGACGTAGCGCCAGCTGCCCTTGTTGTTGAGGGCGGCCCGCGGCGTAATGTACTCTGTGCGCGTCTGACACAGTTCCTGTGCGCCGGCCGCCTGCCTTCGGGACCGTTCCGCCGTCGTCTCTGCGCTTTGGGGGTGAAAAATGTTACTAAAACAATGTTGGACTGATGATATTGCGACACACGTGGCTGAAAAAGAAAGCCCGCTTTGAAAGCATATTGATTTAGCTGAATCTATTTTAGTACACTTTCTGTCTCACTTTACAGTTTGTTGTTTGCTTTTACAGAATCTTATTTTTTTCTTGCAATGCCTACAGGTTTGTCGCTAGCTTCGTTTGTTATTGCATTCATTTTCATGCACACGTTATCATGAGTATTACTAAGCCTAAATAAACATGCCCCTCCGGTCCAGAAAAATCGCGTTAAATGATAATAATTATGGAGTCTGCTTGGATAGAGTGCTATCATTTAACATTATCTACAGAGCGTAGCCTGACAGTGGCTGAAATTAAAAACCAATTAGTTCCGAGATTATGGATCTACATAGTGTCTGATCTTTGTAATTAGCAAAACACTAGTTAGATTTCAATATAATGACTAAGCCTGGCCATTTGTTGCAAAGGTTAATTACGGTTATCAAGATGGCTGATAGTCGCTACCTCTTTCGCAGAATTACTACAAGAATATTCCCACACCTATCTCTGGGCTTAGCTTGATGAACTCAGAAGATTTTTCGGTTAAAACACGAACATGAGGACCAGTACGTATGTAATAAGTAAGAAGGCAAGTAATATTTTGCATTAGTTTAGTAAGTACTCGTAGGTAGGTTAATTTACATAGAGATAGAGGGAAAGGGATTGTATGATACTATTTGACGTGAAAATAACTTTTTTTAAATAAATATTTTTTCTTATTTAATCAACAATAATAATCGGTGAAATAAAAAGAATCTAACAGCTATTAGTAGTATATAAATTTGTGATGGCTAAAATCAATCGTTCAGCGTTTTTCTGTCTCACTACTGCTTTTATGTATAACTGGCCTTCTTTTAGGGTTCTGACGCGTACTACGTAACACTGTAATAAATTTGAGAGTAATTTCCTTCAAGGAGAGTAATTTTCCCATTTACAGTCCAGCAGTAAAGTTTAGCTGTAGTAGGAGTGTATAGAGTCCTAGTATAAAACTTCTTCATCCAACATACCTAGCCAGCCCCAGCGCTATCCTCAGCGCCTCTGCCCCAGTCAACGTGCGTTTCGCCGACTCCTGCACCAGTTCAGCATTGCGCCGGCGCCGCGCGACCTGCACCATCGTCCTGGCGGGGAACGAGACGGAACGTTCTACAGTCACATCGGAGCGAGATGGCGATATGTACCTGGAATGGTAGGTTAATTTTTGAGAGGATGAAGTGGAACGAACAACTCAAAGTTACACTATATGTATTGTTTTAAACTTTCACTAACATAATAATTAATAGCGAACAGCTTGGGACTGGAATTCGTTGCCTGCTGCTGTCTTTCCCGAAGACTATAATCCGGGCCTTTTCAAGGCGAGAGTGAATAGGCACTTACAGGCCAGATAATTTACTATCCTAGACTGCATCCCACTTAACATCATTGTTATGCATAAAAAATTTCTTGACGGGATTGCTACCACGTACCTCCATGAAAGTTTCCTCAGTTACTCCGTTATCATGGCGCTTGCAAGTGCCGAAATATCGGAAACTCAAAATTAAGGTAGGACATGGTAGCAATCCCGTCCTAATAATTAAAAGTTACACTGTCAGATTATAAAGTCTAATGAAAACATTTTGAGTGTGTTTAAGGAAAAAGCACTATAGGTAAATGGATGGAAAGTATTGATATCAATTTCCTTTAAGATAATAGGATAATGCCTTTTCAAGACTTCAGTGTTTCAAAATATGATGACACAAGGCACATAAAAGTAACTTGGCGATTACAGGTCTTGAATTAGACACCCGTATTCACAAACGATGCTTGCTTATGTGAAGCAGCAAATCAAACGCACAGCGTTGAATAGAGCTCTGTGATTGGTTCATGTGTCACCCTGTGCTTCCACGCCTACTGTGAGACCTCATAATAATGTTTGTGAATTGACGAGAGTCTCCTGACAAGGCGTTATGATCACAAGTAGACATGTTGAAAAATATAGAGCAAATTACAGAAAATAATATAAATACTCACTTCCACCATTCATTAGGATTATACTGCGTCACTCCACTCGACGCCTGCCTGAACCACTCCGGAGCTTGGTAGTTGTACCCGTTCTGTGTATCGTACAAATTTGGGTTGTACCCCAACGTAGCGCTCAAGCTGTTCTGCCGGAAGACCTTCTTGTTGTACTCGCTATCGTACTGGTTTAACGCCGGGTTGATGTACCCTTGCCCAGTCTGCTGGTACCCTTGAAAGCCGAATTTAGAGAAGTTGGCGGACTGGTACGCGTTGATATTGTAGGGCGATGGGTCTACTGGTGAAGGTGGTTGAAGAGGTGTCTTTTGGTTGAAGATTTCTGGAAAACAGTTGAATTATAGTTAAATTCAAACTTCAAAGATCAACATTGTTTGCTCCAAAGTTAGCAGATGCAGTAATGAACGATCAACAGAGGCAACAATTTATTTAGAATTCGTCTTCAAAGTGCCTCACTTCTGTTCGGAGTAAGGTATGCTAGAATTAATATTAATAGTATTTTTCCGGTCGTAATTCAGTCAGGGATATCATAATTATTGTCTGTAGAAGTACTTATTGGTAGGAGTACCACAACCAATTCCATGTTAGGACTAAGCAACAGGACCACAAGGATCATAACTGATCTCTCTACCTACGGAAATGTTGCTCTTTTGAATTTAGGAATCTTTTTGGGACTTTGTAGTTTTATTTCTATAGTTAAAATTTTCTCTTACTCACCATGATTATACCTATTATGGAACTTAGTGTTATAGTCCTTAGGGTATATAGGGTCGTTGACGAGTGAGATCTGGTCGACGTGAGGCAGCGAGTTGGGCCCGTACCCATACGGGTACTCGGGTTTCTTATTCGCGTTGAAGTCGTCCCGGCTCTCGTCAGAGAGAAGAGTCCGGATGTCGTACTGTCCCGCTTCTATCAGCTGCCTGATGATGTATCTGGAATGATATGGAGTGATTAGAAGAACATTGCGGGATCAGCGGTAATAGAGTTTGATTCTGCCAATATTAACATCAATTCCCAAATGGAACACACAACTAAAAATGAAAAACACTTTCCCAATTATTTAAGGTAGGTACTCGTACCAACTTTGCCTAATTCGATTTTTTTAAAGAAACATTATTCCGTACTTCAGAAGCTACGTTAAACTTGAGCAATGTCTATGGCTACAAAAATCGCACACGTGCTTTTAATCTTCTTCTTTGCCTTAGCCATTTCCCATTGATTGGGGTAGGCTCTCCTCGTTCTACGACACCAGGACAGTCTATCCTGGGTTGTCGAAACACTTTTTTGGGTAAGTTCTGTCCTTGACCACCGGGTGCTAGCTTTTATTCACTGGTCTGTTCTTTCATGATCATCAACATCAGACCAATTGGTCACCCCTGCAGGACGACCCTCTCTCGATTCATCAGAGGCAAAATGAAGAATGTAAAAAGTTGAAAAAATAAACATTTGATAATGGTCGTACTCAGAATAGGGCTCCGGGTGCACGCAGTAGGTCAGGCCGGGCTGTGTACACAGAGGGAAGATGCAGCAGGTCACCAGGTCTAACTGACCCTAAGACGAGGGAATAAGGTTGAAAGTGGTCTTACTCAGGATAGGGCTCTGGATGCACGCAGTATGTCAGGCCGGGCTACGCGCAGGGCGGCGCGCGGCCGTGAGGCGTGGGTTTTGAACGCCTTTGAAGGCGTAGAAGGTCACCAGGTCTAGTTGTCTCTAAGATGAGGGAATAAGGTTGAAAGTGGTCTCACTCAGGATAGGGCTCTGGATGCACGCAGTATGTCAGGCCAGGTTGGGCGCAAGGTGGCGCGCGACCAGGAGGCGCAGGCTCGAAGGCGCAGCTCTGCCCGTAAGGACAGCTATAGCCGTCGCCACCGCGCGCTATGCTCCAGATCAACTGCAACAACAACAATAATAAGGTTCTAATCTAAAATAATTCAAATCTATATCTATAAAAGCGAAAGGTGACTCAGACAGGTCACTGACTGATTGACTGACTGACTCACTCACTCATCACGAAATCTCAGAAACTACAAGTGCTAAGAGTTTCAAATTAAAACAGGATCCACGTGTACGAAGTCGCGGGCGGCCGCTAGTTCTGTATAATATGTAGAGGAAGGACAGGTCCCAAATATAACTTTCCCTATCACCACTTCGGGACTATTGTCGGCTAGTGCAGAGAAGTGGCGCAAGAAACTCTGCATTTAGGCTGGGTTGCACCATCTTATTTTAACTTCAACAATCGTCAGAAATATGTCAAACTCCATACAAAAACATCGGTTATCGTTATAGTTACAATCAAAGTTAGGTGGTGCAACTCAGCCTTAGACATTAAATGACTTTGTCATCCAGATAACAATTCAAAAAATAGTTATGATGATAAATAATTTCGACAGGTTCACCAATGTCTCCATGACTCAGCGGTCAAACCAATCACTTGTCAAGAAAAAGGTCATTGGCTAACATGAGTCAGATTTCATTCAAGTGAAAAAATATTTGGAGCAAATAAATCCATTAAATAGATAACTTATAACTTGAACCTATAGCTGATAGCTGTCAATGCTTCGAAGATAATGGTCCAAAACTTATTATTACTTGTACCTAAGATTGGTACCTAACTAGGATAGAAACATTCCCCTGGCGAGCAAAAGGGTTGTCTGTCAAAGTCCGTCAATTAAATACGTGGTTATAAAATATAATCTTGTTGATTTTAACATCCATATTTGTTGCATAACCGATTCGGTAAACAATGCATTTTTGCTCTACATAACTCGTTCAAGGCTTTTATTCGTACTTTGGCCAAATACAGGCATGTTCTGACAGGTACAAGGCAACAATGTGGCTCTCCGGAAGGAACCGTCTCCTACCCACGCCACGTCATCGAAATGTCAATGTCTTACTGTCTAACTCTAGTGTAACAACTAAACGCGAAACAGCTGCTTAGTCATAAACAGAGCGAATTTTTTTACGCCCGTATTTACAAACATTACTATGAGATCTCACAAGTCACAGTGCGTGTGGACGCTCAGGGTGACACATTTAATGTTTAATAATATCCTTGGACATTTTACATTGCGCCACTAGCCCCAAACCACCCAAACTAAGCAAAACTTGTATGGGTACTAGACAACGCTGCAACGGATATAAACATACTTAAATACTTTTTTGTAAATACATACATTATATACATAGAAAACACCCAGATCCGTCACAGAAATTAAAATTCATTCAATTTCTGCCCGACGGGAATCGAACCCGGACCCTCGGCATAGTAGTCCGTACTGAACCACTACACCAAACAGCCGAACCAATCACAGAGCTCTATTCAACGCTGTGCATTCGATTTGCTGCTTCACTTAAGCAAGCATCGTTTATGAATACAGGCGTACGAGTGCTTGGTTAGTTACTATCTTACACCATGTAAGATGACGCATTTTTTTCTGTCTGTCTTTATTTCGTCGAAGGTAATCTTTAAAAGCTGCAATATTGAAAATAAATGTAGAGCAGTGACAGAATCGTTTGCGTCAGGCATTTATTTGATCTACTCGTATCTATCAATCTATAATAATTTTAATGGATTACATAATTAATTTAATTTGCTACGTGCTACTCCATTGACCACTAGAACATTTCTTTCTCTAAGCGGAACGAGACCAACCACTTCCTATTTGAGGAAGTAACGGCTCATTCCAAAATCTACCATACTGCTACGACTTAAGGATAATTATCCATATCCTTCAGATGCTGAGTGCGCAGGACGCAGGAGTTGTATTCCACGCGCAGCACAGATTAACGCAAGCGCTTTCGTTTACGTGCGCCGCTTGCTAACTGCGTTTGATTCATCTTTAGCAGTTTCACGCGGTAATGTTTTGTTTATTACCTGACTTTTTTACATCCTGGATAATAGGTTTAAGATGTTTACAAATGTAGATGTCTCTAAGTTCAATTATAATAGGTACCTACATAGAAAATCAGTCCTTAAACAGTGTGAATAACCGAAAATTTTATTTGTAAAGTAGGTAAGTCTGAAATATTTAACTTTAACTATTTTCTCAATAATTCAATAGTTCTGGCAGCAGAGCTAGAAATCACTTTGACATTTGAAACAGTCCGATTATTCTTTAATGTTAAAAATTACGCAAGTTTTTTTTACATTAGTGGCATGCTACTTCTTCATGAATACGTAAAACTACTGAGCACCAGTGTTTCGCGATGGCACTAAATCATAGAAAACTAGATCAGGAATCAAATGTCAACGGTGTGGCAACACCAGATCACAATAGTCTTATTTTTAGATGATCTATTTGTTTATTCATGCATAATTTATAAGGATGTGAAAAGAATAAAGTTTTATGGCACCTTTACGGTCATTCTCACGATTAGGCGTTCTCAGCCTAATTACCATATCATTTTTGAAATTTGGCTTAATTGACTTAACCGCATTTAAATATGAAACACATGAAAAGTACGAATTTAACAATCGTTAAGGCGTCAAATTATTCCAAGCGGTTTTCGCGTAAATGAGACCCAAAAATTTTATGGTCACGGTAATTAGATAAGGCTAATACTTATTCTAACGGTAATTAGAAAAAATATGTAAAATAGCAAGAAAACAATATCTTGCATTGATAAATTTGTATATAAATATATAGCGTCATAAAAAATGCTGTAGGTACACTTAATAACCCTTTGAAAAAAGGAAAACACTCATTTCTATTATTTATTGTATCAAGATATTTTCAGTATACTGCAATAATCGAGGCCATAACAGGAACACTTAGTTTCGCCCAGAAGGGGCTACGTGTCACATTTTATCAGAATCTTAATCATCATTTATTTGATTTCAATGTGGTACAAACGATTTAACGTACAGATAATGGATCAGGAGATCTCACAAATTTGATTTTTCGGATATGCATATGTCGAAATTTTTTTTAATGATTTAAGTGATTTTTCCTCTTTTTAATCTATCTGCGATCAGCCATCACCCATTATCAGATTAAATTGAATTTGTAATAATGACAGTTCAAGCTCAGCATATCCCATGATTTGTCACCTCGATTCTTTTACAATAAGTTTTCAGATTGATGCTATTCGCTTTCTCCTGAGCCTAAATGCAGAAGTCTTAGAATTTAGAAGGGATGCAGCAAATAGATTTCATGAGGGTCTAGTCTTTGGTTGTAAGCTTTACAAGATTTTCCACACCCTCTTTGACGTTTGGTATCACTTCAGTGGACTTTGTAAACCAAGGTTATTTTGAAAACGTTAAAGTATTTCTACATTTGCGAGACTAAGTCGATGCCATACTATGTCTACATGGGTTTTAGGATGGATTTGTACATAGTTTGTTCTCCAAGCTTCTTCTGTCCAGTACCCATTGTATATCACGAAGTTTTTTCTATGCATAACAAAGCAGGTAGGATGCTGTTTAGGATGGTACAAAGTGCCTTTACACTCTTGCCTTGAAAAGTCCCATTGTCTGTTGATTTGTTCTCTTTTGTTCTTAATGTGATCACGCCAGGTAAGTGTTACTGTTGGACAATCTCATCTTCTTAGGGCAAAGGTATTATGGATAGATTTTAATGGTATTATATTAGAATTAATTAATGATTTAAGATGTTAATATCAATTATACTAATAGTAAAAATAAATATCTGGTACGAGACATGTTTCATGCAGGGGTGACATCTCCTGGCCATCAGAAAGCCCCGATGTCACTCCAGGTAACTTCTTTTTGTGGGGTCACCTTAGGGGTTAAAATATACTCTTAAATCCAACAACCATGCAGCAACTGAAGCTGAACATTCGTCATGAAATCGAATCTATTTCGAGGTTACTCTAACGAAAGTTTTTTAAAATTTTGATTGTCAGATTGGAAGAAAAGTCCGTACAGTTGTTATGCGAAAGTCTAGGTATATTTCATATTTTATCATCATACTTATTCAATCGTGAGTGCAATTTGTAGGTAATAATTTCATACAACGGTGATTATAAATATACGGTAATTAGTACATGGAAATTATAAAACGATAGTTTTTCTTCAAAATTTCCAAAATCTTCAGCGTATGCAAATACTGTCTTACTACAACGTATGAAGGCCAAAGTACTGAATCTTTTTAAATTAACAACGTGGATCTACCTTCAAAAATCGAGTATAAAAATAAGGACATGGTAAATAGAAAAATTGAAAACCAAAGATATGGTAATTATACTCTTACGCAATTCATCGACGGTACGCCAACGCAATAGACGTCTACTTGCTAACAGGTCTTAGAACTAACTAAGGGCTCGCGCCGCGCGCGTAAATGATGTGTCAAATATTATTTTTTAGGCTTGTGTGCCCAAAAACAGAAAACGTCACGGGAATTAGGACTTTCGCTCGGACAAGCAGTTTTTTAATTCTAATTATTTACAGAATGGTTCTATTGAATAGATATTTTGCTATGCGTAAGACAATCTTTTGTACTCTTTAAAATGTTGAATGGAGTAAACCAAATCTATACGACATAAAAATTACAGCCAAGTTTTAACATTAAGTCGGTGTGCGGACGCGAAACGGTAATTAGAGAACAGAGGTTCATGAAATTAATTAAGTCACAAATACTTAAAATAGAGGCCTATGATTTAATGCACAACTGGATAGGGTTGTTAAGTAACATATAAAAATACTTGCATGTCTCTAATTTGTCATTTTTAACGATTTAACAGCCCGGACACGCAAAAACTAGCTCATCTGAGAATGGCCGTTTAATGTTTGTAGAAATCTACATACCATTATAATAAGATATACCGTTGAAATATAATATGGTTACGATACTAAAAACATTATTTGAAAGCATGAAAAGTTTTAGCTTAGCTCATAGTCATAAATCTTTATTGCATTATATTATTATTAAT